AGGGGAAGGAAGAGGACGTGATGTTGTGTGGGGATGACACCATTTGCCTGCTCATCGGCTTAACTGCCAAGTGACCCCGTAGTAGGTTCGTGTAGGTGGAAAGAAACACTAAGATGAGGATGGGAGGTGGATTTCTAACCAGCTGTGTATGGTGTTTTGTGTACAGTGCTATATGGATCACTGCACAGTCTTAAAAAAGTGATTGCTCCATTGCCCTTCAAAATTAAACAGCTGCCCATAACTAATCCTGTGCTTTTGAAAGATTTTCTACAAGCATGTTTACTTTTATAGGTGCATTGTATTGCAGAAATGTCTTACTGTATGTCGTTCGCACAGCTTCCCCTTTGGACAGCTTTTTTTTTTTTTTTTTCATTTTCAAGCTTCAATAGACAAACATCCCACCCTTGAGATTGTACCATATACTAAATTAGTATCAATACTGGAGTGTGAGTTTACACAAAAATACCTTGTAAAGGGCTGCAATATCGGCTTACTGGTGAATCTATACATTTACAGTGAATTCAAGTTTGGAAGTTTTATATATCCATGTGTTAGCACAGCAAACACAGAGGCTAAAACACCTCTGAGGATGTTGTGTGTCTGCAGCTGCTTCACAGTAAAAGCCACAGAGAATTGATGAAAGCAAGGCATAAGGCAAGGAGGTGTCACTGGAGGGCTTTTACTGTAAGACAGCTTCACTGAAGTGTTTTGAGTTACAACAAAGTATACTGAGTGCATTTTGAATATGCTGAAATCATTGTAACTTAAACTGAAAATACACTGTTTTGATTTCATTACACAGCTTTAGGCAGTGAAATTATGAAAGTGTGCTTAAATCGTCATCTCATACCACCATTTCAATATTGACAAACTAATTTGCATCATTGTGGCTTTATGAAAGATAAGATGGATATAGGATATGATAACTGAACATGTCTGGTCTGCTGACTTTACCCAGCAGTATGTTTTTCTGTATAAAGTCGCTGAAAAGACACAGAACTCGTCTTCTGGATTTTTCCACCCACGATTCCGTTTCCAGCAGCAGGTGCTCTGCATGTGGAGAAGGCTTGTCAATGACATAGCCTATCAAAACGAAACCAATGTGGTAGCTAACGAATGACATCTGCACTGGTGTGTTCACTGTTGCTTTACCTCTCCTTGCTTGGGAAATATCTTATAACAGAGAACATCTCTCTCTGTGTTTCTCTGCAAAATGCTAAAATGGGTCACCATTTATACCTGGGCAGCCGTTAATATGGGCAAGTAAAGTCTAAATGTGGGAAACACTGCTGTTAAGTCATACAACCTCTCTGGATCCACACAGTCAATGCAGGCAGGCCAAATGCATAGACTGCTTCAAGTATTGCATATTGCAAAGGATGAAGAGGAGTTTTGTTTGGTGTGTGTTCAAAGTGGACAGTGTTAGAGGAGGTTAGAGTGATAAAATGACTGCCTCATGTCAAACCATGGTTGTAACCTTTGACATGTTACTGGGGTCATTCTGTCAAGACTTTAGGGTTGCAACGGTATTAGATTTTCACAGTATGATAACAGTATCACAAAATATCACGGTAACACAATGTTTATTATAGTTTTTTGGTTGAACACTCACTTAATTATAATATTCTGCACAGGAAGACACAAAGCTTCATATATATATTATAAGAACACTAATAAGGTAGAATTAAATATATAATACAGCAGATAAGCAAATGTAGATGGCATATCACGGTATACCGTGAAACCAGCATACTGCTGCAAGTCACAGACAGTGTCATCTGAGTAATGATAGATCTGTGACGAGCTGTTGACAGAAGCTCAGATGTGCTGCATGTATCAGAACGTAAGCTGTCTGCTCCTGGAGACACAAACAAACCCTCCAGCCTATATCTATCTGTCACGGGCAGCTCGCACACCATCATAGTCAACCAAGCTGTTTAACAATAGCCTGATCTGCACAGCCATATTGCACATATGCCAACACGCACAATGTAGTTTTAAGGAAAGGGTGAATATTAAAGTAGGCCAATATCTTGCAAGACATTAATTCACAAAAAGCCAGCACTAATTCTGACAGTCCAGACGGAGAAATTAACATTGGAATTCATGGTGAAGGCTATTTAACTACATTATAACAGTTGGTATTAGGGCTGAATGATTAATTGCATATGCGATTTTATCGCGATATGATGAAACGGGATTTTCTAATCACAAAGGCTACGATTACACTCACATGACACGCGAGAGTAAACCAGTCTGCAGAGGAAGCATCAACTTCGCACATTACAACTTGTTGTTGTATAATGGCATTAAGCTTGACAGAAGCTGACACTACAGAAACTTTAGTATCACACAGAGAATGAAATTAGCCACCGAGTAACTTGTTGGTGGGTGAAATTGTCGGGCCATCTGCTGCTTTGACAGATAGAAAAAATGCACAACAGAAAGACACATGTAGTAAGGTAAGCGTATTGTGGCGATCGACGTCTGCTTCACACATACAGCCACCAGTCAGCTCAGGAAATATCTGTGAAATGGCGTTTCAAACCCAACGCACAAGTCCAATAGAGTTCTCATAATCTCTTTTTTTTTACTCCTCAATGTGGCCCTAATACTCCGTCGTACTTATCTGAAGATATAATATTATTTAAAGCCAGTATGAGAGAAGAATATATGCACTGAAAAAAAAAAAAAAAAAAATCCCTTTTATGGTTAAAGGTCAATCTGATAGTATGTCTTCATATAGATTTACGGTCATATTGCGAAGCTATAATGATGCACCGCTAAGTATGGATATATATATATATATATCTATATATATAGATATATATATATATATAGATATATATATATATATATACACCCCATAGATATCTAGAAGAGAACATCTCTCTTTTCGTCATGTACTACTGATTTGTGTGCATGTGTGTTGTTAATGTGCGATTATGGCTTACCTTGAGCAAGCATACTAAATTCCAAAAACAGAGCGATGTGGTACAGCTCCATGGCCTCCTCGGTGCGTGTGCTGGCTCCACGGCCCCCAGACACCAGTGCTTGCACCTCGCCAAGGCTGCCTGCTGAGGGACTGCCCCGCAGCACCAGCCCGAGCTCCACCACATCTGTGTACATGCAATGGAGAATAACCTGCACATATTTCCGTGGGATGATGGACTCATCCAGAACTATGCGGGTGGGTGTCTGCAATGTGCGCTCAGTCATTTCCTCTCCTGTGCGAATGCGCCTCTGCAAAAGGTTCCTGAAGAAAGGAGAACGTGCTGAGAGGATAGCTTTATGAGCCCTAAGGTCCTCATCTGGGGTTCCGGGGCACCCATTGCCTCCTGAGCCCCCTGATGGTGCTGCAGCCACAGCCCCTCGCTCATTACAGTTCTCTATCATCTCAGAGTCTGAGGAGAAGCTGAGCAGAGCGTCGTAGTAACACATGTAGTCAAACAAGCCCTTCATATCAGCCTCCAGGGAGTTGGGCGTACCAAACTCCTCACTGAGTTGCACAAGCACATCCACGTTCTGCAGCCTGGTATCCTCCGCTCCGCCCACCCCAAACTCCCCAGTGTACAGGTAGTGAAGTAGGGCAGAGAACATGGGCACATCAATGCCAGCTGTCTCAATATCCATTAGAACCTCTGCTCCATAGCCAGGGGATGAGGACAGCAGAGTCTTGAAAAAGGGGCAGCGGGCAGCCAGGATTGCCCGGTGAGCTGGGAAGCAAGTACCTTGGAAGATGAGGTCCACATCCGTGCAGTATTTATGCTGGTAGAGGGCAGCCAGATTCCGCTGCAAGCTGGGTGCCTCAGCACGTGCCAGGCTGGCCTGGAAGCTCAGCTCCTTGAGGGCTGCTGTGCCCTCATATTCCTCCACAAGGGCGTTTGTGTCACGGACGTCCCACCCTGACAAAAGCTCCCGCATCTGCCGCGCATGATCTGCTGAGCGGCTCGACTTCCTCCTTTTGATGAACCTCCGTTTGAGTGTCGCCAGGCCAAGACTCTTCTTCTTCCTGTCTGTGGGCCGCTCATGGCCATGCTCCAGGCTGTATAGCTTAGACTCCCAGCCATATCCCTGCTGGGAGTAGGATGACGTTCCTGGAATGAACACACAATGCAGGTTAGCTTCATAGGAACGTGTTTAAACAAACAAAAATCATAACATATGCTGGATATAAAGTAGGAAACCTCTTCTCATTGATAAAATAACTGTGGAAGTTTTCCCCTTCTCCCCATGAGTCCTGTCTCTCTCTACTGGCTGTCAAATAAAGGCAAAACTGACTCAAAAATAATTTAAAATAAAAAAATGGTGTTATGGTGAGACATTCATTTCCAAACCCAAACACTAGGTCACTCTTGAGGCCAGACTGCTAGAAACACAATCTGCCTCTAGCACCCCTGTGGTGTGGCCAGCTCCAAGTCAGGCCAAGCACACACTACCCCTGACCCAGCTACCAAAGCATTTGGATCGAGTTCAACAGCGGAAAAAAACAGAATCCCTTTATTTTGTTTGGTTTAGACAGACTAAGAACCAATTAGCTCATGGAGGACTTTGTCCTGCTTTGTACTTCTCAATGAACTCCAGTCCATTCGTATACATGGGCCCAATCAATTACACTAAATAGCAGTTTTCTTTGGCTTGAGAGACAGGACTCGAACGTCAGAGGAAGCCTCTGCCAAGGAGATCCTCTCTGCCTGCCCTTCTCTAAGCATCCATTAGTTTGACCCAAATAGTAATCATTCTAACACTGTGAATCATCTGTGGCTCAGGCCAACTCAACCATGCACCATACAGAGCTCAGAGTAAACCTCAGAGGTCTCTTTATTTATATTATTATTTGGCTCCTTACAAAACTTTCACTTTTCACAAAAAGTCTAAAAAACTCAAGTAAAAAGTCAAATAAAAAAAACAAATAAGTCACCTAACATGGCTTATAAGAGTGATCTCTAACCAACCAATCAAAAATGCTACTTAAAAATAAGCAATACAGTGACCTCATGTGTATACACATGCAAACTAATGCAACCTGTATGTCACACTCTTTTCAGCGCATGCAGACACAAAGTAACAGATAAGACAGAAATGTGCCAACTATAGTACAACAATGTTCTCTGACAATAACATCAGCATTGCTGAAATTGGAAAAGCAAAATGTTGCAGACTGTAGCTGTCATGGCATTCAGTAGAAAATGTGACAGTCTAACAAGCAGCCTACAGCTGGTCACAGGGACAAAAATCATGACACCAGATTAGCTCTCATTCTGTCTGATAGCCAGCAGCCTTATCATAATCACATCATACCATAAGCACATAGTAACAACAGAGGTAAGAAGAGCAAGACTGTTTTAGGCACTGTTTTTAATATATGTTTACATATTTCTATTTTTTTTTTTTTATTGTATTCCTTATCTTGTCATTATGTATTATGTATTCATTTAGCATTCCCTACATATCGCTGCTGTTGTGAGACTGAAATTTCCCCTCTGGGATAAATAAAGTTGCCCCTACCTTTTTAAAAAAAAAAAAACTTTTAAACTCTCATAGCAAATACTTAATGTGATTATGGTTAACTGCCCACATTGGACACAAGCTTCTTTGCATATCTGCCTCTCATAATACTTCTCTGTCTATATGGCAGAGTAAAGCTGAGGCATTGCTTTTTAATGCATTTGTGTCAATTGTATGAGTTAATGGCCCAGCTCAAGAGCTCTCATGCACAAACAGAATTCACCTCTTGCACCATTAGTTATCATGGAAGCCACTTAATCTAATCTAAAGTGTGAGTTTGGCCATGGTAGACCCCCATTGTGCATGTGTAGCAGTGGTGCATAATGCCAAAATGGGATGAGGAATACAGTTTTACCACTTCAGTTCAGAAAAGAGTGGGGAAATCATGTTTAATTCATCTAAATTATATTGTCTCATTTGCTAACTGAACATACAGAATCATCACCTATCAGAGCTGACTTTGTGTGAACTGTGCTACTGATCGTTCTTAATTAAACCACAGAAAAATACATACCTATAAAAGTTTGCTGTGCTTGTGCATTTCCCCCTATGCGTGGGGAGCATGAGTGTGGATAGCTGGATCCATTGGCACCCATCCTCACTTTTCTTCACTTGCTATTTGGGGGTCCCCCCTCTTGCTGAGTCATTCTGCTCAGACAACGTATTCCTGTCGATCCTCGGTTGTGGGTCAGGCACGGATCCTCTGGAGCGTCCTCAAAGCCCCAGGCGCAGCCTGCCATGCCTGGAGGAAAGAAGATGAAAGAGTGAATGCCTTTTAAAAATGTTGCTGACTAATATCTCACAAGGATTACAACATGATGAGTTTGGACTGTTTGGACTCTGTCAAAGATAATGAATGGCCAGGGGGCATCAATGTTAAGGAAGCTGAACAGAGGGACATCCATTACTATCTGTCACACTGTTTCAGCCACATTGATTTCAGAGCAATCATGAATCATTGCTGTTGAGTGACAGCACTCATCAGAAATGTGTGTGTTTGCGTGTGTGTTCAGGCTTTTGACTCTAATTTTCAATAGTGACTTAAGGTTAACAGAGACTTCCTCTGCTCAGCCCTCAGGAAACACTGACTGTCAGTCAACAACAAATCTAATGTAGATGTACGGTGATTTTCAGACAGAGGCACAACCCACTCAGCCTTTAGTAGTTTAAACATTTGTAGTCTAATGAATCATTTGGATGTTCTTCCACAGTTGAGTGTGTATACATCTATGCAGTGTATAATTATACTGCATTTTTAGTGACAATTCATTTACCATGGTCATACCAATTAGAGCCAAGCAGCTTATTATATTCTTTAATTATTACTGAAGCATCTCTAAGATAGTTTTCAAACTTTGGATCTCTATTCAGTTTATGTCAGTACAGTCAGACTAAGCACTGTATCGCAGCTGTGATGACTTGTTATTGTTCAGTGAAACTATTTTCAGAGTTTAACAGTGGTGTTGATGGGAAATGTCATGTGTGAATGCAATCTTAGTGCATTCTGTCACATAGAGAAGGGCAATATGACGATTTAAACTGTGAGATGACAAAAACGTGCCTACCGTCATTCAACCTCTGTTTGTATTAGGCCATTGTGGGTGACGTTACAATGAACAGGACAGCTTTATCGGAATATTTGATTTTTACGTTAATGGGGCAACATTTGATTTGTCAGGTATTTCATTAATAAGCCAAAACCGGACATTCCCATCTGGTTATTTTGTCCATTAACAGTTTCTGAAGGCATTTTAACAGTAGGAATAGCACATGTGCAAATAAGAAAATCAATTAATTAATTATAGCTACTTCAGTTTCAGGGTCTTGGTAATTGTGCATGCTGGCTCACTGTCACGGTTTACTTGGACACTTGAATACAAAAGGGCCATGATTAATGTTATTAGTAACACCTGCACTTTTCCTGCCATGAAGTCAAAATGTCTTGATAAAAAGGATTTTATTCATATAACACATACCAAATGTGATGCAAATTCTACAGGACAAGAGATAGCATTATTTAGGCGGTTGCTAATTTATATGGTTCGGTCAGAAAACGCTGTGCGACAGAGGTGAGCTACTGCAAATAGCTTTCCCTGGCGACTTGTCATTTAAAAGTTTGTTGCCTTAATCCAGTATACTTTGGATTTTATCTCTGAGTCTCTCCTCATACATACTCTGACAGCACCAGACCCTCCCCATTCCTTGTGAGTTGGTTGAAGCATGCTTAACCTCTTGCTTCATCCAACTGCAAATAGCTTCACTGGCACCAGTGAAGGCGCTCTGTGACTTTCCTGCTCTCTTTCTTTGTACTGTCTCTGGCTACGATCTAACAGAAAACAGGCCACCTCATTAATTAAGCATACTTTCAAGCCATCAGGCTATTAATTACAATCTGAGTATATCTGGCTTTATTTCTAAGAGCAAGTTGATTGGAGATCAAAATTATTTTAATTATTTTCCAAACCAGAGGGACAGCTTCTCAATTTTCCATGGCACTTAGGCTACATCTTGGGTAACTCTGCTCTGCCCTTTTATAAACATTATTAAGAGACTTTGAAAAGTAATTGTCATTGCTCTGGACCTTTAAATAACTCAATATAAAAACAGTCACATGTATATAAACACATTTCCTCTGTCTTCAATGTGAAACCAGATGGAGAAGTGGAGTTTGATGGGAGATCCATTTTATCTCAGCCTGCTAGTTTTTCCTGCCTACCATACTAATAAATCATTGTGTCTCCCCCTGTAGAGCAGCACTCCACAGTATCCCATGGGTTCAATGGAAAACCACGGCCTCTTACTCCACACACAAAAATACTCACCAAGCAGTCACAGTGGAGCACTCTAATAAAACTGTTGGATGATCTTTATTATTTCATTAGACTGCTTTAAATAAGCCCCATCTTCATAAGGAATTAATTTGGACAAAATTAGAAATTTAATTTGAATATGTAGGAGTGAGGAGGAAGCCCTTGAGATATATACTGTCTTGTTTACAAAGGAAGGTGTGTGTGTGTGTGTGTGTGTGTGTGTGTGTGTGTGTGTGTGTGTGTGGGGGGGGGGGGGGTTGTCCTCAAAGGAGCACAGCAGAGACAGAAAAAACATAGCAACCAACGCATCAATTGAACAATACGTTGACTCCCAGCTAGGCAGACTCGTGGCTTTAACTCATTCAAACGAGTGAACCAAATTTAACTTCAGCTGCAGTGCAGAATTCTAAAAGCATAATTTAGGACAGCTGTTACCTTGAGACCTGACTCACACCGTTCAATAAGAAGAGTCTCTGCCATAATCTCTCTGGTGTCGAACATTAAGACACTTTTCCGCAGTTTAGAACCAAACAGTGTGCTGCTCCATTGTGCTCAGACTGGGAGCAAGGGAGGGCAGTGTCACAGACGGGGGGGGGGGGGCAGACGCCGGCTGGGCTGGACTATACATCCCTAATGAGAGGTGACGGGAGACACTCCCTGCCCCCCCATCTATCTCTCTATACACACACACACTTTCAAACTGATCACCTTGCCTTGGTCATTTGGATAATTTTATTATATTTAAACCAGCCACTTGCGGCGGATTAAAAGAAAGAAGCCCAGCCTAACATAGAACACTACCATGCAAAAATGCTTGGCACAAGAATAGGGCCGATGTATTATTCAAATGACAGACAAGGCACTTCAATGATTTATGTGTATTTCCTCATCATGGCTAGAGAAAAGGCAAGCGGTAGGTATCTGGGTTTCCTTTCCTGTCAGCGACCCCAAACTTCGGCAGCATGTTCTTATTCTTTCAATGCAGGTTCTTACAGGTCGTCACCCTTTACCAGGGCTCTGCTAGCAAAACACACACAGTCAACATTTTGAATCAAAGTGACAGGGGCAATGAAGCTTCCACGCCATGACAAGGCTTCAACAATCAAAAGTGATGTGAAGTATTACTTGGGCAGGCAGTGTAGCAGATGATTGAGACGTTTTTGTTTCTTGCCTTTCTGGTAACTGTATAAGAGTTTATGAATATAAACACACACAAATTGCTTTGCTCAAATGGCACAAATGTGTTCTCCATTGGTCCCACTGTGAATCATTTGAATGAAATGATGAAATCACCACCTTTTGATAGTATTCTTTGTTAGGCTCAATGACATAGGCCCTAATCTTCTGTGAAGGAGCAATCACTGTGCCAGTATCACAATCAGGCCTGAATGAAAGAGCAGCAACTGTAGAAACACTGAAATAAATCCCCCAAACACTTTCCTGTCTAAAATTATACAGTAGCTGCTCTTTAAGTGTCAAAGCTGTCAAATACATAGCTCCTCAATATAATTTCTTCAACAGGGCATTTTTATTGGTCCATTTCTGACATGTTATTATCTCACGAAGTCCTGTCACACTCACCCCTGAAGATGCATAGATAAATTACTTCTTGACTCACATACAAAGAAAAAAAGAAAAATTACGTTAAAAAATGCAATCCAATTATGTACACTAATCTCTTGTTATAATTGCAGTTTCTAATAAGTTTAGGAGGATATAACATATTATAAAAAAGTTTTGCTGTCACAAATGCTGTTAAATGACCTGTGGGGAGACTTGGCCATTATGTGCTTTGCTAACCAAGCTGGACAAAAATACTGCTTCAGACAGTAATTATAGACTGTTTGACTCTTTGGATATTTGATACAATCAGAGGCGCTCTAAAAGGGTCATAATAAGCAATGCTGCAGTGAGCAGAAACCAGACCTTTCTACCAGAGTGCCCTCCATGGTATTGATGTGTCTGCACATATCCCACAGCAAGATGTGCAAGTGGAATATGGACCGCAGGTGGAAAGAAAACAAAATAAATGACTCCCCCTGAAATAATAATGATGTCATATTTTGTGAAATGATAGTTGGAGAGACATAATTCAGCGGCAAAGCAGACTGCTTACCTCTGCAGTGTTTTTGCCAATCAGGTCAGGTCAATCAGTATAACAGTTAATCAGGCCATTTGACTGATTACAGACTCTGCCAGGAGAGCTACAGGAAACTACACGAATCAGAACAGGCTAGAAACAGCAACACGCTGAAATGACATAGACAGATAGAGGAAACAAAAGTCTCCACAATGATGACTCATGGTGGGCAGCCTCTGGATTAGCCTGTGTCAACCAACAATATGAACCGTAGGTTTGCATTTTTTGCATTTTGCAGCCTATGTTGTCAGCTGATTAAAATGTTTTGCCCTGGAGGCCACACTACATAAACAAAAAGCTAGATATTGCAGATAATATCTCATCAGCATTGACACACGCTGTTCTTTTAGACCTTTAGGATAAGAACACGATGATCCCTAAAGTGACAAAGAATGAACAGATGAATGCCAGGCTCTAGGTCAGCTTGCAAAAACAACACTGACCAAGGCCATCTTTTCTATAAAGAAATGTTAAGTGTGCACACACTAATGACAATACAAACACAGCCTGGCAGTCAATCTCCAGAGAATGAATGGCAGCCCAGGAAACAATAAGTGCTTATTTTATGCGAGTTGTCAATGCTCCTTGTCCAGTTCTCCATCAAACTGGCTAGGGTAAACAGAATTCAGGCCAAAATCTGGCTCATTCAGTTACTCTGTGGCAAGTACTTGCAAGCTCATGCCAGTCACAGACTTCTGAGCATGTAACGCCAATAATGACATGTCATTATAGAGCCCTGGAGCACTGACACAAATACTTAACCTGGTAAAAAGTCAAATCTAATTCCTGAAGGGCACAGTGAATACACCTTTTCTAAATGACAAGATAGAAAGACAGTCTTTAACCCTTTAAGATGAAGGCTGTACAGAATGCTGAGTCTAACCAGAATTTCAGTGAGATTATAACGGGATTATTGGTGTGCATATGGCTCCTCAACACTTAAATAGACAGAGACAGCAACAAATATCATAGACATTGCTGCAGAAACCCTTTAGGATATCAATAAAAAATTTGGATTGTTTAGGCAAATAATAATGTATTGTGAACAAGAAAGGATACCTACAAAATGCAAAATGGACTCAATATACAAATTTAATACACCAACAAATCTATGTCCACAAGTAGGCTATAGATTGCAATAGGTGACAGGCCACATTGTTGCCACAGTACAACCTATCAACAACTACCTCACACAGAGGCAATAAACAGCAACATGTAGGTTGATCCGCAAAGTGAAAATGCACGTTCATCTGAAACTTTTCTATCGATCTACCCTCACATAAGTGAATAAATGTTCCCTTCAGTAACCTGTGCATAAAGAAATCAATCATTTGCAATGGCTTTGTTAGCCTTACGTTTACGCGGAGCTATTGTTGCTCTTTGGGCTATTGGTGGGCTATCGGTGCTCAGCGGAAGCCTTGGTTAAAAGTGCTTGTAGAGCAAAAAACCAAGTGGGTTGTTTGTCTCAGCTGATAAAAATGGGAAGTAAGTTGGTGTCCAAAATTTTCGCGACAGCCTAGCAAGAGGAGTCATATTCACCACTGCCCTGTAATTAGTAGCATATCCTAAGAGGCTAGGGTAAGCTACCTCTGCTGTGTCGCTTTGACTTTAACCCTCGGAAACAGCAATTTACTTTGAGCAGGATGCGAAGCAACTGTTGAAAAGCGAGCGTTCAAAAAATATTTACCAGAAAGTGGAGAGCTTCGTGGGCATTATTTTGCTTCGTATCGCCTCGTAGTTTAAGCAGTACTCCGACCTAAGTTGTCTCTGGCAGAGAGAGAAAAAATGCAGCTCAACACCTTCTTTTTCCAACTCTGCTCATTACGCACGGCTCGACGTCAACGTCCACATTTGATCGCTAATATGCGATAATTTCCACTTGCATCGACTTTCCGGCGAATTTCCAGCATTTACCTCGAGTAAAAACTAAACCAAAACCGTTTTTATCCTCGGTTCGGTTCGGTATTTCCCCATAGTAGCACAACGCCTTCTTGGATGGTTGTTATGGCCTATCCCATCGAACGCTACAAACTAGCCAGAGTAAGAAACGGCGCTTCCGGTTCTAACTTTCAAAATAAAGCCATGAAACTTTAAAAAAGGTGCATTTGTACAATGAAATATATGTCAGATAAAAAGTTGTTTCAATCAAATGTTCAGTACTGTACCTTGAAAAATATCAACAAAGATCTGATGGAAAATCCTTGAAATATTCGACATTTTAAATAAGATGAGCACACCCCGTTCTTCTGTCGAGGCTTTAGTGTTTAAGCACAATAACCTAGTTTCCTGTATTTTCGTGAGCTTGACAGGTTCTTACTGCTGGACGCGGACTGGTTAACGGGCCCGTCAGTACTCCAAGCGGTTTGTGCAATAACACATTTGCGGGCGTCCTCTAGCGGCGTGTCTGTGGCAGTGGGGTTATGTAGGCTACGTACATGTTAATACATCAAGCTTCCTTTACGTTTTACCTTATATATTATATGATACATAATCAGAGTACACGCGGTAGTGAGCCAATATGTTTGAAAGTTAAGTATAGTTTGATAAAACCTCTAAACCTTTACCCCTAACATGCACTTCCTATGGGCTCTCTTCTTCTTCTATCTCCTTAGAATTCGCTCATCTTGATTATTGCTTTCCCTAGATACCCTAATTATCCCCTCGATGCCGTATGCGTTCATAGCTCTTACAAGAAAGATATGGTTGCTCGTAGATCTTACTTTACTGATGCTTGTATGTTACTTTGGACTGCCAAATGTGTAAATGTAGGCTAAATGTAAAAATGCACATCATTCCCCAATGAAACATCATATTTATACATTATTCATTAACTTTTATCTCTTTCATGTGGTCTGTCTCTGCATGATGGGCTATACCAGGAATTTAGGCCATGAAAATGTAGTTATGTTAAAGGTTAAAACCATCTAATTTATGCAAGGGCGGATTTTTCATGTCACTGTTGGTGGGGACATTAAACATAGCCTAGCGGGAGTTTTTCTCTAGAATTAAAGTTGCTGAGCCTCTAAAAAAGGTAGGCAGCGCACCAAACCACTGTGAGGCATTTGAGGGGGTAGGACATAATCTTTCAAAATTTAAAAACACATTGGCCTCCTATAGAGAAGAAGATCTGTTAACCAGTTGTGTACCAAATACACTGACAGCAGTGGTTATATTTAATTGTGTTCACCAAAATGATTGCAGGGGGCAATTCAGTAGACCTACCTATTGCTGGATATTGGTAGGGACATGTGCCTATACATGCTTGAATTTGATTAAAACGCTAGTTTTTTGGCCTACTGTCCACAATAATTCCAAAAAAGATAATACTTCCTCAACCTATGTTGTATGAAATGAGGTGAAGAGGCAATATTGACTGAATTGGACTTAAGAAATAATATTGATTAATTAATAGACCAGATATTGATATGGTAAGTCCTAGCCAACTTTTTGAGAAACAATGAAGGCTAGCTTGTATCCATTGAAGGTTAAAACTAAGGGCAACTGTCCATGGTAGAAGACATTTCACCTTTCATCCAAGAGGCCTCTTCAGTTCTGACTGGCTGGGAATACCAGTTATTTCACCTCTGTGGGGTTGTTATCATGCTTGGTTAGTTAGTTCTCCTGGCAGTCATTATGGTCGTTGGAGACACCTGAGGCCAAGTCTGAAGGACCTTATTTGGCAATGTAGCTTATATAGCCTAGCCTACAATATCATATCCATATTCATTTAATAATTCTAATTTAACTTTAGTCCTGTCATGAACAGACTGTGGAATATGATTCACAGTTTAGCCTACCTGTTTAAAAGACCACATTTTTGTTTAAGAAATTCTTATAAAACCAAGACTGGATTAAAACACACATCTGTTGTTCACCCTCTGAGATGAGAAGAGTAGGCCTACAGTGGCAATCACAGTAGGTAGGCTATAGGTTAGAGTTTTTAAATAGACTAGGTTAATTGTTACATTAGCCTATTAGATTTGTTTTATTTGAAAAAATAACAAGTGAAAACAGCCATCAGCCCTGTTTAATCCTGACTCGGCCTCTGTTATGCTGCTACCGCACTTTCTCTTTTCCCCTGCTGTTGTGCTCCTCCCGCATCTGCATGGCTACTTTATATTGGGACTTATATTGAGCCTCTGGATTATCATACAGACCTAGCCCAAATCTTGATAGTAGGCTATAATTGCGATTGTAATTTGAATTCAATAGAACTGCTATTAGGCTAAGTACCTAAGTAGGCCTACTCTATGCAGCTGGGGGCTGTTTGAATTGGTATAATATTTGTAAGGTAATATTTTGTGAGAATTTCTTGGTGGAGCTTAACAATAAATTGTTACAGAGGTAATTATTTTAAGTTATTTTATTAGTAAAGGTTTCAGGGCTTCAGGGCTTGAAGTTTTTTTGGCCTCCTGTTGAGGGCGACATAACACATCTAATGCAGGGCAAAATCTCTTTGGCACTGCTGTACAATATAACTTTTCTTTTATGCATGCCAAGGTCAATTTTTCAGATTTGCTGTAAACAGAATCACCAAATTTTATACATTCAAGATAACAAAAAACTGGGGTAACACTGAATAAGTAACTACAAAGTCAAGCCATAGTTGTTTACACTTATGTCTTACATGAACAATTAAGAAGGTACATTTGAGAGGAAAATTATGTACTTTTTATACCGTTACATTATCATTTTAAAGTTTTATTAGTTACTCAAGTTAATCAATAATTATAATTCAATAGTACATATTCTAAATACATATACATTTGGTACTTTATGTATATTTTGATGCTGATACTTTAGTAAAATTTTAAATGCAAAACTTGTAACATGTGACATAGTTTTTCAGAGTATTTATACACTGTGGTATTACTACTTTGCTGAAGTAGAACTGGCTCAAATGATTGATGTTAACTAACTTAAGTTCTACTGCTCCAGCTTAAAATAACATTGCAATTGTTCATTATAATGTAGAATCACTATTTTGTGACAAGAGTTCTTTTCTATTCAAGGAATCTGAACCTGCAGTCCTGCATCCAAGGCCAGATTTCTTATTTTGATGAGAATTTGGTCAGTATGTTTACATAAGTGTCTTTGGGCCACGGAAGTAACTCCTCCCAGGAACAGTGATGGGAAGTACTGAGTATCTATTGTGTATATTAGACATGAGGAGACATTTCCCTACAGTAGAGGAGAGTGACTGTGTGACCAGAAAGATGTTCTCTGTCCTTAGAAGACTCACATTGAACCGGTCCACAATGATGAAAGCCATTCAGGAAAATCACAGGTCAACCATCTACAGCAAGCCACCAAAGGAAAAGATTGGACCAGTGGTAGGACTGAATATCTTTGTTAGTAGTTGTTTAGTAGAAGTTGAATGGGCAGATGTCCCAGGTTGTTTGACTATATCAAAATTTACTACAACAGCAGGGATTCTTGTAATATATTTCCCAGTAGCATTGGGTGCTCAACCTTAATCAAATTTGGAGACCATGTTGGCACACAAATAATACAAACAGTGCAACAATGTCTGTCTTGAGGAGACAGTATCTCTAATACGTCTCTGTTTTGCCCCTAATGCGAGGAATTCAAGCAAACTGTGTTCCCCGGCCTGCAGAGTGGGAGAGATGATTTATTTATTTCTTATCCATAAGTCAGTGTGAAGCTCTGGCCTCTGTAAAGGGATCCCATGATGGAACTGCAACATAGTGGCCGGTGTTTATACCACTTTAAATCTGTTGATCTGTCCTCGGGGACATGCACAGGGGCTTTTGCAAAGCCTGGCTCAGGATGGGAATATCAAAGTGCAGAGGGACACAGGGAATATCATGGTAGGTAGATATAAATGGGGGCTGCGGTTATATCATCGGCAGAGTCACTGAGATCGGGGGACCCTCTGTTGTGGACACAGGTGTTCAATCCTCTCCATTCAACCTGTAGCTGATGACAGGAGAGGTCTGGGAGCTATGATACACTGCCTTAAAATGTGCACCAAATATCATCCTTCATGCAGTTGTTTAATTCTATTCCAAGGAACATAATGTCTATTAATTAAGCATTTATGTTTATGTTCTCCTGGGCTTTCTTACAGCAATCTTTCATTGCCATATGTGCGTTTGCTGTGACTATCTTGGGCCCGGCTGGATGGATCATGCATCACATTCCAGACTACCGGCAGAGATCACCTCCACAACCCTGACTTCTGCAAAATCTCTTCACTCAGGAAGACACCCATGCACTATCATTATTGTGGCTTTCCAATGTGTAAAATGTTATGAAGGGAAGCAAAACTTGACGATGAAACCATTCCCCAGAATAAAGACTTTTTCGTGATATCTCCTGTGGTTTGTTTTATGTTTCAAAGATATGAGATATATAACAAATATGGTGCTTAATATTTGCCTTTGTGCACTTTGGGATAGCATAAACAGTAGTAACAAGCACAGCGGTCATTCGAGGTGATCACTGTAGTGGATCACCTCGAATGACCATCTCATCCCAGTCAGCTGGAGATGAGATGGAAATGCTCCAGCAGTTCTTGACACACGCTATTATTACGTAAAAAACATACATAAAATAAGCAAATAATGTCTATCAAAAAGAAAGGAAAAAATCTAAATTTCTAAACCATGAAAACAAACAAAAATATAGGGTGAATTCAGGTTGAGTGGGACACCAGGTTGAATGGGACACTTAAGCTTATGAGTACTATACAGGGTTAATTTTGTAAGCCAATCACAACAATTGTTATTGTGTTGTTGTTGAATGTCTATTGGATATGAAACAGAGGTTGTGATTGGTGTGACATCAAAGAAGTGGTCCCCTAGTTCTTTTTCAAATTGGTTGACTCCTGGGACCTCATGGTAAACCACCTGGCAAGTGTAAATCTATATAAAATTATAAGGATGATAATTCAGTCACTTATGATTTAACAATAAAATATTTGCTTTAAATGTCTTTATACTGTCTGTAGATTAGAGATTAATTACAATAAGGATGTAACTGGATCAAATATTTATGAAAATTAGATTTA